ATTACAAGTGGCCTATGAACAAATATGCCAGCTTGATCCAGTCGAATGAGCTGGCGTGACTTTAGTCGTAGACAATAAATACTGACTCTCAAGTGTTTCAAGCTTAGAACGAGAATAGTAACGGGTGATTTTTTAAGAGGTATAGGATTTGATTTTAAAAAAAAACAAAAAATTTGAAAAAACGATTAAATCTTTATTTGAGTCGATAGAACGGTCGATATAATTTAAAATTTAAAAATTATTTTATGTAAATGTTGGCCGCGGGTTCGCTTTAGATGGCCCATGCGCAAGGTTCAATTTTGGTACACTCTCTCCAACATATCGGCCGGTATCTCACGAATAAATGGTTCAATATTGGCTTCCAGTGCGTCAATCGTTGCTGGTTTATCCCTGTAGACATTAGCCTCAACATGGCCCCACAAGAAATAGTCCAACGGCGTTAAATCACACGATCTAGGCGGCCAATTGACGGGCCCCAAACGTGAGATAAACTGTTCACCGAACTCGCCTCTCAATAGGGCCATTGTTTCGTGTGCGGTGTGGCATGTGGCACCATCTTGTTGAAACCACATTTCAGCCTAGTCCAGCTCTTCCATTTTGGCAAAAAAAAGTTTGTTATCATCGCACGGTAGCGCTCGCCATTCACTGTTACGTTCCGGCCATTGTCGTCTTTGAAGAAGTACGGCCCGATGATGCCACCGGCCCATAATCCACACCAAACAGTGATTCTTTCGGGATGCATTGGTAGCTCTTGCAATGCTTCTGGCTGGTCTTCACTCCAGATGCGGCAATTTTGCTTGTTAACGTACCCATTCAACCAGAAATGAGCTTCGTCGCTGAACACAATTTTTCGATAAAAATGTGGATCTTCCTCCAACTTTGTCAGCGCCCATTCACCAAATGGGAAACGTTGTGGGAGGTCGTGTGGCTTCAATTCCTGCACCAGCTGTATCTTTTAAGGTTTTACACCCATATCCTGTCGCAAAATTTTCCACGTAGTGGAGTAACAGAGGCTCAATTGCTGCGAACGGCGGCGAATCGACATTTCACGGTCATCACTAACACTGGCGGATACAGCCGCAATATTTTCTTTAGTCCTCACTCTACGTCTGCGTGTTGGTGGTTTAATGTCCAATAATGTAAACTGGGTTCGAAATTTAGTCACAAGCTTCCGAATAGCTCCCTCAGTAGGCCGGCCAAATTGCCCATAAATTGGAAGCAGTGCTCGATGCACTCTCTTAACCGAGCATGAATTTTGATAGTAAAATTCAATAATTTGCAAGCGTTGTTCGTTCGTAAGTCGATTCATGGTTAAATTAAAGACCAAACTGAACAAGTTTGACAATGACACAAGACACGATTCACGCGTCATCTGTCAAAAACAGTGTTGCCAAAAAGATACTAGCAAAAAAATCACCCATTAGTAGACTGTCTTTTGGTACTTGCAGAATTTTGATGAATTATGAAGTGACTTTCAGACATAACATGAGAAAAATCGGTTTCCATTACCTAGTGTTCTTTAGGAGCCTGTATCTGCGTAAGGAGTTCGGATGGATCTTTTTTATAGAAATTGTAGTATTATTTTTCGTGTTCTGCATGGATCAGAGAGGTTGACAACTTGTTCTGTATACAGTATATACCAAGTATCAGAGAGAGTTTATTCTTTTTAGTTCTCACGCCAATCGGCGGATATTGTAACTGCAAAAAAAATAGAAAATGAGATGAAGTATCTTGGATGTTATGTGAAATGTACATAAAACGAACTTGTAACGACATAACTGTTGTCTGGGTGAAGGGTCACTCACACTTCAAGGGTGACAGACTGGAAAAAACGAGCTGACGAAACCAGAGTTCGAAGCCTAGAGCAGGGTTGCAGCGGGTAGTCAATTGTAAGGATAACGGAAACTGGACATCAGGTGTGTTACTTGGGCGGATAGTCGGACAGCCGACCCGATCGAAAAGGCTTGGAGGTGCATCTTCCTTGAAGAGAAGGTTCTTCGACCAGTGGCAGATACGCCCTTGCCAAGCAAAAAAAATGGCAAAGCTGTTTGGAGCTGTTACAACGAAGGGACGGAAGGAAACACCAGTGACCATGGAAATGTTTACCAAAAAGTTCTATTGCAAAATTTAGCTGAAAACCTATGAATTAGCGAACTAATAATCTGTAGCAGCGTATACATTGAGAAATTGTCTTCTACAGCGGACATATTGTACGAGCAGCAGCGATATCGGTTTTAGTAGCCGTTAGTAAATTATATTCACTAATTCAGTGATAACGACGGATGTTCTCTTGTTTTGTTTAACTTGAAATAAAAAAGAATTTTTTTACGTTACCGGATATCCGTTGCAACACCAGTCTAGAGCCGGTCTGAACTTTTACCCATCAGAACCATGACACCAATGCTAAAAGGTTACACGCAAGAACATGTGGGATGATACGTCATGCTGTTTGTTCACTGAACAACTTTGGTTTGCCACTAACATTCCAACTGGACACTGTCAGCTAAGGAAACATCTCTTAAATACTGATTGCTTTGCGACTTCTCAGGTATGCTACCAGTCCGAGAATACATTCTAAATGAACATTGGCATTCTTTGGCCAGCGTAAGGGAAACTTCGCTGGGTCATATCACAACTTTTCGCAATAGTTTTGGGTGACTGGTGACTCAGCGCTAAATACGTACAAGGAGCCTAATGGGATCTAAGTACTGTAATATTGGCTAATTGTCTCCTTCTACACAAACACAGAAAGAATTTTCTAAGAAGCTCTTCAACCGAAGCTCGCTTTGATGTCCCTTGCCTGTATATTCAGTGGCCTTCTTTAACTCGGAATATTTTGAGACAGTTTGTGCAAAATCTGATCCTCAGGAAACGCATACATTGATATTGTGCTAGGAAAACTCATGAACTGTGAAAAATATCGTATGATTGTCAGTTTACGAAGACTATGGATATCGGACAAAAATTCTGCCTAGGAGAGCAACGTGCCATAGCTGATCGGCCCTTGGTAACACGACGTGAACCCTTACAAACAACTAGATGATCTTATTCCATGAATATCTGTTGCAGCTCTGCAGTTGATCTCTAGTTTTCAAATCCACACTGCCTTCTATCATAAACCAAGCGGTGATGCTTGAGATATTTCAGCAGCTCTCATGTTTATGCTATTTTCTATCAGCTTACAGCTTATTGATCACAGTAGCATTACAGGCCTACATCCGATCAGAACGGTGTGTGGTCCTTTTGATTGAGAAATTACTTGAACACGCGCAAGCTTTAATTCCTCTGGAAAAATACCAATTTTACGTATACTGAAATTGCATACTCGCCTGCGTCTAAGGCCCGTATCGTCAGTCGTCCCTACAATTGTAGGGCGCGTTTATGGCCTCCTTGATTGTCATACTCTGCTTCAAAAATTTCTAGATTAGACTAGTCCCGTGTCAGCGTCAGCGCTCTCCTACTGTGAAGATATGTTTTCTTTTTAAATTGTAGGAAATTTCAGGCTGATAAAACATGATATAACTCAAAAGCAAGTACAATTTGATGCAAATAGGTGTTTGTGACATAACCTCAAAATAGAGCGCTGACACGGAGAAGTAGAAAACTATGACAATCAAGGAGGCCATAAAGGCGCCCTACAATTGTAGGGACGACTGACGATACGGGCCTAAAGCATTACAGGTATATTTTAAGCAAGGCTTTCGTACCTTTGCTCAATGATAAAAGTAGCCCAGGTGAATTTGGTAAATGTAGATATTCATATGTATGAATGACAAAATGTTGACCTGGAAATAGAACAGGAATGGCAAGATCGGCAATGACAAAATGCCATTATGCCGGAGCGAGGTTTCTGTAAATTTAAGGCTTGGTATGATAAGATCTTAGATATGGCCCACAAGAAAGATTTATATCAATGATTGGCATAGACGGATTTGAAATGTCAACATTTATAATTTGTTTCACATCTCAGTGGTTGATCATGTGTCCAATGAAGAAGTGTTAAGAGCTAGCACTGAACATGATCTTCTACAGACTATAAAAAAAGATAAGGCATACACTGAGGGGTGATAAATATGAGGCATTAAGATTTATTTTACTCAGAAAAATAGTACGAAGAAGAGGCCCAGGTGGAGAGCACGGCTCGTGGTTACGAGATATTGTCGTCAAAGGATCGTGAATGTGAAACGAAAATTTTTCACACCACATAGAAAGAACAACTACAGACTGCTGGCTATTGAAAGTCTACACGCTGGAAGCGTATGACAGATAAAGAGGATGTTCGAATGGAAAAATTGGAGCCACTCAACTTTTCCGTTGTCCCCGCCGCTGTTCTCCCAACTCCTACCCGGACGAGTTACGATAGCGGAGTTTCACTTGTCTCCTGTTAATTGTATTAGTTAGAGGTGCTTCCCTCGGCCCGCTTACATCCGGTCTGCTACGTCTTGTTCTACTTCCGGTATACGGTAGAGTTCGCTTCCGCACTGGACGGCTGCCTCTGTTCCAAAATGGCCGCCTTGGGTGTCGTCAGGGTAATTACGGAATGAATTGTCCAATGGCGGGATCTCGGTTGCCATGACAGCCTTGATTAAAACAAGCGAACGTCTCGGCGTGGCGGCGGCGACGGCGGAAGCGGCAGGCGTCGCCATGGCAACGCCGCTGACGGAATTCCGGAGCCGGAGCCCGTGCCGGATCGGAGTTTGGTACAGCTAGATGTCTCTGGGGGCGAGAGCAGCTTCCCTTCACCTTGCTCTGAGTCAGCTATGTTGCCAGATTGGTGACTGGTTAGTTGGTTGGCATTGTCACGTCACTGTCTGTCTTATAATTGCAATGTTTTTGGTATATACCGGTGTTGCTGGCCAAATGAAGCAAAACTTACTGTACTAAGCCTAGCTGGTAGCCATCAACGGAGCGGCATCAGTTTCACAAAAAAACTATCAATGTGAAATTTTGCCAGTTTATTACTTAGGTGGCATGATAACAAAATATTGCTTTTCGTACGGTTACCTAGAACTAAGAAAAAGTTGGACCATCCATTTTCGTTCATACAATCTTCTCTTAAATATTGTCTTTAGCTCGAAACTAGTTGCAGAATCTATAAAAAAATTTCCTAAAGAAATATCTTTAAGCTTTTATTTGTGTATCTCCCTTTTTCATACTGCGAGCACAGATACTGCTTTTGCACAATATACAAATAAAAGTATGAAGTTTCAAGCAATAAATTGTGCCAGAGCATTAAATTCGTAATTCCTGTTTCATCAAAACTTTTAACTGTTACACTTATCCTGTTGTTATCTCCCTGATCCAACTCCAGTATTGTTTTCCTGGACCATAAACAGAACAACAGATATGAAGCAAATTGCTACCGTTTGGGCTTCACCCATTTCACGGAGCCGAAAGTGAAAGTTAAATTTTCAAATTCAGATTTTTTTGATTACTTCATTACTTTATTTTGCAAAAACTGGTCAGGGCAGCCGAAATGGCAGCGAAGTAATCTAGTTGGTTCGAATAGACCATTAGTGATATCCTTGTCACTCACTACCATGCACTTCGCAGATAATCCTAAAACGTCCATACATGTAAGGAGCTTGTGTTCTAATCGGTTGGAAGAATTCCTGTTACTTACTGTTGTTTATCAAACATTGACTCTCTCTCCTAAAGCTTGTTCACCTATTTTTTGAAGCCCATACCTATCTCTCGATTGACGGAACCCTATCAACCTATTACAGGAAGTTGACAACATTTTTTGCTTTACTACATTTCCCACCACCTGAGGAACCGAAACCATTTATTTCACTGATATGCACTTTTAGGAAAGCTCTGGGTGATGGAACATCGTTCTCCCTCCTCCGCAATTGCAGCAATCTGTGGTCTTCGACAGTCCTTTCCATAAATCAGGCATCACTTCCTTCTTTAAAGATTTTCCTATTGTCACAGGAACTAGTAGTTTATGTTAGTTATAGCTATAGATTACGAGTAGAAGTAGTAGTACAAGGTTTAAACCAAATATAGAGCATTCAGTAACACATCCAGTAAATGACTTCGACATTGATGGCACACATTCATCTGTGTCTGAAAAGATCGTGAACATTTTGCATAAGTATTGTTGGAGAACCTTAGGTGTATGTGGACTTATTGGCATAGATCACTGAGCTCAAGTAAAATAAGAAATCCACTGGTGTTAAACAAGACGATCCAAGTAAAGTCACCAAAATGAGAAAGGGAGGGCAAGAGACAGGATAATGTTTGAGACAGCAATTTAATTATTTCACTGGATATACGGCATTCGCCCCGATATCTGCAACAATATTATCCAAGTCAGGCAGAAAGAAGTTCACAGGACAGATCTGGGTGGTCAGTTGTGGGAGTATGCGACCAAGAAAAGTGTCATGCAGTCTGATTTGTCTCACGGGGCTTATATCGCGTGACACCATCTTCCTGATCCACATGTGTTACTCACATCAATATCATTCAGTTTAGACAGAAAAAAGGTCACAGATCCTCATGAATTGAAAAAGTAAATCCAATGCTGGGGCAAGGAAGCTCATCCACATCTACGTAAAATGATCATGAAAAACATCGATCAAAAAGTGGGCATATGGCACCAAAGCTAAAGAGTTTATTTGCTTGATTAGCTTTTCCTTGCATAACATACTTTATGATTCAATAAAAAAAAACAGAATGAAAGAGAACAAATGGTTAATTCAATTTTTTATGGATTTTGGGACACCTTATACATGGCAAGACCAAGGTGCCACATGGAAAAATCTCAAAACACTGTACTACAAATTCAGTGGGTGGAACTAAGATGACTACCAACAAAGTATGGGAACTGGCAACATTGTACCCTTTGCTGGATTTTTTTATCGTCATATGAACCGGAACCGTTTATATCAGTTACTGTGTAGCAAGAGAAAAGCTCCGGATGACGGATGTCGGTTAATTAGCTTTTACAGCGACGAGCTTTTTGCGAGGACGATTGTAAAGCTCCAGGATAATTAAATTCGTTCGTTTTTAATTTGGAAAGTTTTTCGCTGCCGAATATTAATTGCGGCAGACTGTAATGAAGGGAAATAATTATAAGACGCGGTTGAATTTTAATTGGGTTATCAAGATCACGAGTAATGTTTTGACTGAAACTCTGACAGTTTTGAGATAACTTACCAAAACGAACAGAAGCTGTTTGTTTATGCTCGTCGGTTATGCCTTGTGCATTGTTGAAAAAGTATCGTATATAGACTTAAACATGCAGATGACGCACTCGAATTACGATAAGAGCATTGAGGCTATAGGAAATTTCTTTGAGGTCTTCAAGTTTTTAATACTGTGGTCGATGTTGGCTAAAGAGCATTAACTAGTAACGCAGATTCTCATGTAACATACTACGAAATGTCCATCATAGTCTAACGGGTGTAAAAAAGGCACATATACATACAGCTTCGCATATGCAAAGGCTTTTAAGTGGACTATCTGAAATAGCCTATAACTTGAGAAGCACAGCTCGGATTTTGATGAAATTTTTACACGAGGTTACTACTATGCCAAGGACGAAAACTATAGTTTCTGAAAATTGGTCCAGTGGTAGCGGAAAAATCTTTCAAGCTTCGTTTTTTGAAGTGTCATAAGATCCTGATCATTTAAAAAAATAGAGGTAAAATTGGGGGTGGCCTTTGTAGAGGGTTTGCAGGGAATATCTCAATTTGTTGATGTTAGTTTCGGGAGATTACGAATATGTTGAATGCCCAACCTCGCAAATTTAAATATCACTCGCCATTTTGACTAGTCAATTAGTGTGTCAGGTTGTAACGTTTCAAAAGGACAAGAACGCTCTGCATTCTTGACATCCACACATTTATTCAAAAAATTAAACTTGCCTGAATTGGCCCAGCTTCCTGATGCATATAACAGCTTGGTTTCAGCACCTTCATTCATGTTAAAGGGTATCCACAGACATGATTATGAAAAAAAAAATCGACGTGGAAAGCTTCTCTTCTAATATCTCAGCATTTGATCAAAGATAATTACAACATGAATCAAGATTGTACCAACAATTTTTAAAGAACTTACAAATAAATATGTTTTTGCTCCAACTTGATTTTAGGTCTTCCACAGTACTGAAGAATAAAGATATGTAGTACGCGTTGACGACTTTCGAGTTTTCAACATATCAAAAAGGCTGAAAATGACCATCTTCAATGCATAAAAGCTCGTTCAAAAATTATCATCTTTGGCATTACCAAGCGCATAAATTAAAGTCCAAACCTTCCTCCTCAAGACCCCAAGGATTATCTTGAACTTTTCTTTTTATTTAAAGTAGTTAGTAGTTAGTCTTGCTTGGTAGGCCAAAATTATAGAACCATTAATTTTCGCAGACGCACATTTTATATAACATCCAAAAGACATAGTATCTAATTTATCGCGATTACGTCCTCACTAGTTGGCGATTTTCAGACTTAGTATGGTTGTTGTAAAGCAATGGCACCAGATGACAATCCCACAAGCAAGCCAGCTTTACAGACACGTGGTTCATACGTATAAGAAAGCTCCTCAATAAAATCAGTGAAGCCCCAGAATATCCCACCCTCTTATTTGGTATGCTCAAAGCGAAACAACACTTTCACAGGCTACTTGATCCTGCTTCTCCCCTAGCTGATGCTTACATAAATATTCTGATTGGCTCATAGCTGCGGAATGTTGTTTTTGTCTTAGACACTTTGTCAGAAATCTGAACCTGCTATTGAGAAAATGTGAGCGGTAATTTTTGTATATGTGGGTAGAAATCTTTCCAGCGTGCGTAGTTCATAATTTTCCAATACAGCTCACTAACCTAATACCTACGTATAAGTGAAGTTAGAAATACTGCATCTCTGAGCTTTATTGCAATTTGAGATGTGAACGCGATAGCTAACGTGGATGTTGGAAAGTTGAAAATATTATAGGATCGGAGACAAATACCTTGCTGGTTAGCATTGATCAAGGACAATACTTCGCTAGGAGAAAGCTCGAGGAACTAACCCTTAGCTTACACATCTTCAAACTACTACCGCTTGGCTGTTGTCCAGTCTGAAGTTATTCAAAAATTTCGAAGTTATACCATCTGTTGTACTGTTGAGTGGGATATCTTTGCTTGACATACTGTAGTAACATAGCGGAAATGATGGGCTACATGCATAGTGGGATGATCTCTGTTAGAAATTATGCTCAGCTAAACGAGATTAATTGAGTAACCCATGGGAAGGCAAAATAAAGCAATAGACTACTAATTGCTGGGGTTGGAGCGTATCGATATATTGATATTGAAACATTTTCTTATACCCTCCCCCACCCCCTTCAAGCCCAACCCCCAAATTTCAACACCTAAAAAATTTTTACTGAAAATGATCAGGACCCTCTGAAACGCCAATAAACGAAGCTTGAGCGTTTTTTATTTTTTCATTATTGGCTTCTTTAGCGGCCGCCACTGAACCAATTTTCAAAAACGACAAATATTGTAACATTCTCTACAACTTTTGCCACAGCAAATTTTTTCAGCTTGGGTCGATTGCGATTTATAGCATACTGCTACGTCAAACGTTAGTCTAGCAAAGTCATATATGTTGTAGAGGCTCCATAGTAGTACGTATCTGGGATATACCTTTGCAAAATCAAGGCACTACAGGGTGATTCTGTTCCTATCAAAGTTGACCACCCAAAATTGAAAAAAAAATCAAAGAACTCAATCGAAGAAGATATGTAATACTAGGGAGTTTCTACAGCACATATGACTATTTTGTTAGCACAATTCTTCGTTTGGACTCTGCGAATTTTGTTTCAGTTTTGAGCATTCAACTCTTCTAGGCGCAAAATCACCTTTAGTAATCTGATCCTGGATAACTTTATTTTTTTTAATTATATATAGGCATATCATTTATCGAGACTGTTAACCTTGCATTATGCTGGAAATAGCTCGATGCGCTCTCCGCCCTCTATCTCAAAAAATGTTTGGAACAAAGGTTTAAGAGAATTTTATTCTCCACAATATCTGTAATGAATTCGAGTAGCTTAAAACCTTAATGAAACAGCATCTTTGAAAAAAAAAACGATTTTTGTAACTGT